AAGTCCTATTGTAAAGCTAGATAAAATAGATAAATTGTTCACCCTGTTGCCCACCCACTTTAACAATGGTATATTCCAATTGGGTGGTTTATGTCCTGGGTGGTTTATGTCCTGGGTGGTTTATGTCTTGGGTGGTTTATGTCCTACATTCTAAATTACACGTTTTGCTTAATATCTCCAAAACAGCAAATGTCAGTTATGCCCTTTTGCCATGGGAGGGCAGTATAGGTACGGGGTTAATTATCATGATTGTTTAAGCAATTTGTAACTAGTAGTGTTATTTTGTTGTAAATTTGTATATTCCTGCTACTTGAAGAAATGCTGTTATAAAATCTAAAAATTGTTCAAATTTTCTATAAAAAAAAAGTCCAATTCAAACGTTGATTAGCTCAAAGAGATCAAATTAGGCTTGCCATCCCAGTGACCAAAAAATAAAAATTGACTTTTTAATTCTTATTCACAAATTGACATGTCGACAAGGATGTGAAGCCCTGCCCACAAAGTCACAAAAACCTTAGACAATGGCGGCTAGCGACTTACCGAGTTGGCGAACATTTTCTTTGCTATCAGCCTTCTTTAAGAAAGAGAATTCAGGGTAGGCTGTATGCAAATGAATCATATATTCATAGTGTTAATCTATTTCATGGAACAGGCGGAGAAATTGTTGTAAAAGCCTCTTCCCAAAGGAAGAAGGTAAAGCCGCATTCAGTCAACCTCGTTGTCGGCAAAGGCCAAGTCGCTCGTGTAAATCTGGGTTTATAACAACCAAGCATATACATCTAGGCCTAGGTTTCGCATTGACAACCAGCTATCTAAGGAAATTAAAATGTCCGAGAAAAAGATTTTGATCACGTGACTAAATGACGCTCGTTGATTAGTTGGTTTATCTGTCAATCAAATCTCGTCGAGATGTTAATTCAAATTCAGATTTTATTTTCGGATGAACATAAAGATTACAAACATAATAAAAATTGAAAACCTTGTAACTAGTAATGTTATTTTGTTGTAAATTTGTATATTCCTGCTACTTGAAGAAATGCTGTTATAAAATCTAAAAATTGTTTAAATTTTCTTTAAAAAAAGTTCAATTCAAACGTTGATTAGCTCAAAGAGATCAATTTAGGCTTACCATCCCAGTGGCCAAGGATTGTCAAAAATTAAAAAAACAAAAAAACAAAAAAATAAGTGACTCTCCAAACAAAATCCACACAAAACAATACTTTAAAATGATAGGTCATTTACTGGAATCGACTTACTATTGCTAAAGTTATAAGTGAAATTATTAAGGCTTCTCTTTACTAAAGTATACAATACTGCCACATATGCTAAATACTCGGTTTAACAATTAGCGTCAGTATACTGGTTGTCGGATGGCAAGCCTCAAATGAGCTGTTAAATGCCAATAAAGCACAGATACCAAATATTTTTTCACTGGTTTACAGACTCTTTCTACAAAATTCATTAAAATATAAAATTCAAAAAATTCCAGTTAATTTAAGGGTCTATGCAAAAGAATAGACCCTTAAATTCCAGTTAATTTAAGGGTCTATGCAAAAGAATAGGAACTGTATTATTTAATAGTCTGTTAAATGGTGCAGAAAATGGATGGATTTTTTTTGGTGGATACAGTACACTGAAGAGAACCCACGAAAATCTAGAATAATTCTTATTTCCAGTGGGGTCCTTTTGGCGGCGATTACGCAAAACACCGGGAGACAATCCCATACTCTTTTCCGAGAAGTGTTGTGCGTTCTTTAACATGCACATGGACCATAATGTACACAAATGATTTACCATTCAATTTTCTTGATTGTTAAACCAATTTGTACTTCATAATAATATTCTTTTTGTTTATATATGACCTTACTTCTCAACAAAACTGTCTCTTGGTATTTAAAATATTTGAATTTCAAACACTGGTTCCATAGTTAAAATCCAGCTTAATGATCTACTTTGATATACTGTGTTTAATGATCTAGTAATGTTATATTACCGAAAATTTTCCAATAAGCATCGCTGCACTTTTCTGAGAGCTTCAGTTCAGTGCTTTAATTCAAGAACAATGCAGTGCTTATTTCAGAACGGTACTTATTACAAATTATTGTAGTTCTAAAGTGGTACCGTGTATTGTGTATAGGATTATTTGATCCATGACAAATTGGTTATTCAATTCTATCCCAATTATATGAAACATCAAAACATGTTAGGTATCTACTCGTCGTTAAGCACTGTGATGTTTATCTCAAATACAATGTACACAACACTTATCCAAGAGCTTATAACACAAATCATGACTGATGTGGCACTTAGAGCTTCGTTTATTCGAGTGTGGTGCTTAAAAGAAGATTTACGGTTTGTTATGTAATAATATTATATCAGTCTATTATAGCGCATCTGGCCAAGGCCTCAGACGCGTTTAGCATTTATAACCCCGATCATGTGTTGAACACCTATGAAACACATACTCAGCCCCTAAGGCAGCTTTTCATCATGTTGTAGGTAATAATCAGTACATTGGCTTTTAAACCTAAATGATAAGTCAGTGGGTGTGCACTTAAGTTACCATGTTTCTTTGGACACAGCATCAATCTTACACATTATAATAACCTCCTCTGCCCTGAGGTCTATTTCTACAAGGTACAAGAAACCTTTATTGTCACATCGTTACAAAATGAACTACTTTTGAGGTTCCTAGTTGAACGATTATAACAAACCTATCAAGTCGATGTGTCACGCATTGAACGTGAAATTGATGCATTCAAGGCCTTTCGCTTAAAGACCAAAACTATCTCACGCATTAAATGCCGTATTGGCAACTATAGAAAATACCTTTACAGTAGGTCTTTTGTAGGTCTTATTTCACTAAAGCGTGCACTAAAAATGCCTCATGATGATCTATCTGGTGACTGTTCGTTCATGTCTCCTCAATCGAACTACCATGAATAAAATTAAATAGCACAAACACCCAGCCTCACGCATGGCTTATGTCACTGATTGGCCCACTGCCAGTTAAAAAAAATGACCAGCATAATATCCAAACCCCCTCTTTGACAGCTAAAGCCGAAATCGCACTCGAGTTTTTGGCACTAATTTTACCATAATTAGTCCAGTACGAACAGCCTAGGAAACAGTTAAACTGACCGAGTAAGTTTTACCCATTGGAAATGTTACCCACAATCTCGGTAAAATCTTCCCTTTTTTTAAGTCCAGTGCGATTGCGGCTTCAGATCAACTACAGCTGCTGTCAAGGACCTATTTATATTGTGTAAATTATTGTTCTGTATGTTCAGCTTCAGCTATTAGTTTTTTTTCCATAAATTTATTCTCTATTTAAATTCATAATCCACTACTGTCAACGATTTTTTTTTAAAACCGTATTCTGCATTTTTTACCCTTGTGTAAACCATACCCATAGGCAAGTCTCAATTTTATTTTTTTGAAAGCCATGTTTTTCTTTTTGGTCAAACACCTTTTCGTAATAGAAAAAATTAAATGTACAACATCAGTTTTTCCTCTCTAAAGCCTGGCTTTAAAACTTCACCATATTATCTATTAATTTCTTCATGTGATAACCCACTTTCATTCACCCTCTTATGTTTTTTTAAATAATAATACAAACAACATATAATAAAATGAATCAAGTTATATAATCTTTTTAATTTACTTTTTTCCTCTATAACGTAATTGTTGAATGTAAACTGTACTGGCTTCCTAGCCCAGTCAGTGGCAGATCGAAGAATTTGTAATAGAGGGGGGTTATAGTGAGAAACTTTTAGAGATGAAAAATGGCCTAAAATGGCACCCTCAAACTTAAATTTGAATGCAATTTGCTTTTTTTCTGCAATTATTTTTTTTAATTTTGATTATTTTAGTGGGGTGTGGGGTGGTGGAAGGCCAGCTGTGCCCCCTTGAATCCGCCACTGTCAGATTTCAGTTTTTTTTAAACAGAAAAAAACTGTAGTGGATTATAATTTATGTGTTAAAGTTTGTAGAAACAATTAGTATAAGATCTTTCATTGAAGAACAGCCATTGTCTGTTTTCTTGACTAGATTATCCATCTTTTTCAATAGTAGTATATTCAAAGAATTCAAAGAACATCTTTTTTCATCATCAAATATATACGTATCACAAATAAGTATTTTTCAATTTCCATTTATACAATTGCCTTTGGCTTATTAAATCCTCAAAAAACATTGTTGAAATTTATATATGAATATGATGATGGTGATAACAATACACTTTTAATTGTATTGAAAAAATACTAATGTTGTGATGCACAAGATGATTAATTATTTAGATTTAGATGAGTTAAGAAAAAAAATGTATTCCAATTGTTTAAAAAGGAAACATTACAAACAGACATCTTGTGGTATTAAAAAATGTTTTACAACATGTAAAATACAAATTTAAAGGTTTTAGCTAAAAACTAATCGAAAACATTACTTATATTTTTCAATTAAGACTACAGAAGGAGCTTTGAACTAGTGTTGTCTCCAGAAATATGCCGACATAGGATCCAAAAAGTTCGAGAGGGTCCAAGCCAAGCAGCCGCCTTGATCCTCATTCAGGGTCCAAGAATAAAATCCCTGGTGGGGTTAAGTTAATGGAAGATATTTTTTGGTTTATGAGGGCCTAAAATTGTTCCTTTAGATAAATTTGCAATCTCAGTAACTTGGTTTGAATTGGCAAATGTATATATTTTCAGTTTGACAACCTTGGCTTATCATCTGTCAATGTGGGGATCCGCTATGGTATTCTTACTGGCCCTGCTGATTATGTCATTTACAGGAATATGCCACTCAAGAATTTGTTTATTATTACAGTCTTTAACCACCTGTATTTCAGGTCCACTTTGCTTTCAGTAGAAGCATGTGGTGTAGTGTGTAGGGTGTTGGGATTTCAATCAGAAGGTTGAGGGTTCAAGACCGATGCTTCTCACACTGCCTGTGTCCATGGGCAAGACACTTTATTTGCATTTACCTTTCTTCACACAAGAATATAAATGGGTACCTGGCAGGCTTTGTATTATTAGGAATGAAATTAGTAATGCTGATTACACGCAGAGGAGGTTGCATATTGTTTATGGGTGCAGTATTGTTGATACTGCACCCATTGACCAGGAAAAAAGACACCTTCAGCAGTTCTTCCATAATTGGATATGTGCTTTATATAAATCATATAAAATAATTAAAAACTTGACACACAGAATTAGGATTGCAAATGAAATTAATGCTCATTTTAGAGGGCTTCAGAATCATATCATTATGGATAGACCAATAAATTAACGTTCTTCTTCTTGATGCAGTGTTAATTCAGTTTGAGGGAAGTGGACGATGGCCGGATGAGGTTGAGGCGGTTCGTCGTATTAAAGCGGCATTTCACGTTAAAGTGGCTGAGTCGCTACACAAGCAATTCCAACTGACAACCTACCCCACAGCCACGCACATTGATGTTCTCAAGGTAAAAAAAAAAAATTCTTTAGAAAGTTGCATATCTAACTTCACATTACCAGTGGACACACGCCTTCTTGTGTAAAAAACCGCTAGGTAAAATATCTGATAGTAGTGTCTCTAGAGATGTTTTCTTAGTAAACTAAAGCATAAATGTGATTGTAACATAAATAGACAGGTTATTTATTTGTAACTTATGTGTGTATTTATATAAATAGTGTATAAAAACCCCCTCATATTAGTAGCCGTAGGGGTCTTCTTACCCAGAAAAACATCAAATGATGGTGTACATAAATGTTTTTTTTTTAATAGCCTAGGGTGTAATCTGATGAAAGATAAATACATCTTGTAGTAACCTGGGGTAACAACCCACCCTGAAAACAGACAATGGCTTCTGGGACAGAAATTCCATAAATAGATTGCTGTATAAAATATTACGACAGCATTGAATATGCATCATCACGATCTATGGCCATCTTCATCCTGCACAACATTTTGCTCTTTGGACTGTAGAGAAAATGCCATGAGGGCACCCCCCCCCCCCTTTGTTTGTTAACAAAATCATTTGTTGAAGTAGCGTAAATGTCTCGAGGCCACTATAATGTCTAGAGATTTTAAATACAGTAGATATATTTTATTTCATTTATTAGGTAAAATTAGGTATATTAAAATAAAGCAAAAATACAATGGATTCAATAAAAAAAAACTTAAATTTATACAAAGATACAAAACAAAAAACAAAAATAGCAAAAAGTGTAGCAAAAAGGGGAAAAAAAAACCCACGGACACATTCCAGGTGTACAAGGATAATTGAAAGTGAAGAAAACTTGCACCTATTTGGTGTTTATTTCCAACCGGAATGGAAAAAGATCAGTGACCAATACATAAGAAAAAATTCCACAATACAAAAAAACAAGTTTAAAAAACAACTCAAATATTTTTAAAAAGTAATGCAAAAAAAAATACTTCATAAGAACAATAAATATGGATTATGAACTTAATTTATTTAAACACACTATATTAAACTAATAAAATAAAGCTAAAAAAATTAATATAATACATACTCCAAGTATTGAAATGCACGTCATCGTGTTGGGATTCAATATTTCGACATTAATTATGTCATCATCAGGAACACTGATAGTACTTCATGCTATTTTGTTATTTTCCCTATATTGAATGTTAAAACAACATTTTTTTTATGATTTGATGATATTGTCTCCCTGAGAAATGCCCTAAATCATAACTTCGAAGGCAGATTTTTCATATACTGTTCTTTAACAGCTGTATTTTTATATAAACTTCATAAGGAAATGTCAGACTTAAATGATTCTTTTACCATTTTATAACTTTTATTTTACTTGTTGACCCTTTATTAATAACTGAAAATTTATTTCTTTGCGAGTAGTGACTGGTTTGGCTTGACTTTGCCACAATTATAGTGTTGTTTTGGATACCTAATACATGAAAATAGCCTAAATTTAAAAGTATTCCTCTTAAATCCTGTTTAAATTTTCTGTAATTGACATGCTTAATCTTCATGTTAACATGATTACTTCAGAGGTTTTCTGTGTATTCCTATTTGCTCTACATAGAGATTCCTTTGCATTCATATAATAATTTATCGTTACATCTCATTCAGCTTGTCTTTCTTAATTCCATCTCAATATTTCTTCTCTGCAAAATAATTTATTACTTGACATCCCAAGATTCCAGCCCAGATTTATGACCAACTTTAATATTTGTCTCATCCCTGTGAAATAAGGTGAACATCACACTACTGAAACTTATAATAATAATAATATTAATAATAATAATAATAATAATAATAAATATTAAGAAATAATAATAATAATAATAATAATAATAATAATAGTAATAATAATAATAATAATAATAATAATAATAATGATGGACTTACATAGCACATATTGTTATTAGGCCTCTAAGAGCTTCACATTATCATTGGATTAAGTGCCTATGGAACACAAACTCAAGCTCCTTGGGAGAGTATTCCATAATGTTGCAGCAGCTACATCAGCGCATTTTGGCATTTATTCCTACCAGATACCCACAATACTCCTGGGTGGAGAGAAGCAAAGTAGAACATCACTCTGTTCTGTAATGAGCAAGCCTACTTGTCATTGGATAAAAGAACTTTTTATTTTGATGAAAATATAGAACATACCACTGTAAAGTAATGATCTAAAGTGACTACTGACAAACAGTAAAATGTAACATAAAAAAAAAAAAAGAACAAGGAGAAAAGAGGATGTCTTTAGAGCCACTTCACCTTTTTTTGCATCTCTAACTTGCCATGAATTCAAACCCATTCTTTAAACTTTTTCTACTAGGATGACTACGTTTTTCGACTTGTTGTTGCCCATCGTCGTGAGGTACATCTATTAAAGGAGGTGTCCGATGCTTCCGGTCTGTTAATGCAACGTGACAATTTGAAGTCACAAGAATTAGAGAAACAAATTATTCATCTACCAAGATTTACCAGTGCTTTGAATGGGTAAGTACAAAGAAATGAACAGCTTGGGTAAGTAACAAAGAATGAACAGCTCATGAAAAAGCCTCACACTATTAAATTGTAGTATAGATGGAAACAGATTTATTGATTACGATGTCCAGAGAATATAAAGAACAAGAAAATGTTTGTGGTAGACAGGCAGGGGTGGCGCTATTATTTTCCCGACGGGGGGGTCGAGGTCCCAGACAAGGGGTCAGATTTCCCAAAAAAAAGCAATGTGGGCGTGGTCGATCTTCGATTAAAAGGTTTTCAAAGCGGTCGGGGGGTGAAGCCCCCGAAAATGTTAACAATTTAGGGCTTTCAAAGCTTTATTTAATCAATTTTAGAGTCTACTAATATGTAGAAAATACATATAATTTTTTTTTCTCCCCGACGAATTGTGATTTTTCTCCCCATTGGGGCCAACACTCACCGATGGGGGGGCTGTGGACAGAATTTGAACCAAGGACCCTGGGATTAGAAGGCAAGCATTTTAACCACTAAAGCTGTTCAACTCCACTGCCGACTAAATCAGTTCACTATCCCCAGGCAAGTAGGATAAAAACAGAGAATCTTCAGAGGAGAAAAAAAAAAACCATTTGTGAGTGAACTTCAATAAATAGTTACCACATAAAACTGAACAAAATCACTTTCCTACACACATGATTCATTCACCTCATTTATTTTACTTAACGTGTATAATATAGGCTGCCGGAGGCTTCTTGTAATGTCCCATCAGGTGCAGACATTAGCAACAACATTTTACTTGAGTCTTAAGGCATCGTATAAAGGAAAGCTAATAATAGGAGTGTAAGATATAAGTGAAGATATGGGCTACAACGATTCCTCAAATTATATTCTTTTTCTACGACAAATTCAAATTTACCTTCTTATGCTGTTGTTTTTTTTAATTGAAGCATGTCCACATACTTTCTTCTTTAATTTCTTATTCTCTTGGTTATTTTTGGATTTTCTAATTTCTTTTGAAAAATATATATAGACATATTACTGTGGAAGTATGGGGTGTAGCCATTGGAATTTGGGCTTTAACTTCAGAGGTCGTAATTTAGATCTGATGCTCGAGCAAGATCGTTAAACTATTTTTGTTGATCTTTCACCATTTCTTCTGATATTACTTTTTCAGAAGTTAATTCATTTGGAGTTTAATAATTATTGTTGGGTTTTGTTTTGTCTGATGTGCTCTTTTCTGTCATGTTTGGTTAGCACTTCGTCAAGAAATTACGAAAGTTGCCTTTTTCCAATTGAACTTTACTGCATCTACATTTCAGTACATAATGGCTTTTGATGTGTCTGTCTATAGTTTATTTTTTTATTTTGTTCAAATTATTTGAGGTATTTCTCTACTTTTTTTAATTCAATCTTTTCTGTTTTTAATTTATATACCTTTTATTTATTAACTTTCTTATCTTTGGAAGGAAAATTTTCAGCTGTTTTGACTAATTGCTGTACATGTTTTTAACCTGTTGTTATAGTCTTCAGCAGCAACATAGCACTTTTAGTGCAACAGTGAGACTTTGTAAAAGATGGACTTCTGCTCACCTGTTGTCTAATCACATCTCAGAAGAAGCTGTTGAGCTGCTGGTGGCTTACCTTTACTTGTCCCCATCACCTTATCGTGTTCCAAGGTAAGAATAAGCAGTAGTCGAAGATCTTGATACAACAGTGAGAAAAAAAATTCAATTCAGTTCAATTCATTTATTCAACAACAAAACATTTGAAACATAATTTATCAAGACGATTAAAATAGTAAAATATTGCTGAAGAAAAAGAGGCACTATAAAACTTTTGCAGGATTAGCATGTAGTGTTTAAAAATATTGAATCAATTAAAATCTTAAACTACAGTACACTTAATTACAAATAAAATTTAAAATATCAAAATTGTGAGAAAAAAATAGTCTTGTGTAAAATTATTTTGAGTAAGACGCTACAATGTAAAGACGATTGAAACATATCAATGAAATGTCGAGATATTCTCAACCAATACAGCAGTTCTTTTCAGAACTATCTACGTGGTGTACCGCAAGCATTATATATATTATTTACTTCGCCATGCAAACCTTCAAACAATACGCTAAAAGATGTTCCTTAAATTTAGTTTTAAAATTTGCTGGAGTGTTTCTTTTTAGTCAATAAAAAGGCTGTTCCGGAGTTGTCCTGTACATGAAATTGTAAAACTGGTAAAACTAAAACGTCTTTGTTTTGGTGAAATATTGCACTTAATCTTGTTTAATAATTATGGTTGTTTAATAATATTTTTTTAAATTTTTTTTTTGAAGAGTTAAAACGTGGGATTAAATTATTATTTAAATTATACATAAAGTAGCCAAATTAAAGTTTGTCTTTTTGTTAAGTATTTTATATTTAGGCAAGTGTTAATCATTGAATTAATTTTTCTTGCCCATGCAATTGCACGAATCGCTTTCTTTTGCATTCGGAATAATTTATCTGGAAGTCTAGGGTATGTGCAACACCATATTTGATTAAAAAAAGTTAAGTGAGGTTTGACTATTTGATTTGTATACTGTCAACAGAGCAGAAGCTGGTACAAAATGTCTTATCTTATATAAAATAAGAATGAACATGCTCAAAGATTTTGTTTAAGATTCTAGCATTTAAAAGACAGATAAAGGTTTGTATTTTGTTGCATTATTAGCTCTTCTTCCTAAATTAGGGTGGGTGGCTTAGTTATTTTTGTGAATAGTTGCCTGGATATACCAACAATAGGCAATGTTTTCTTAGAACCTCCTCCCCCCCTCCCTTGTACCACCTTGTTATTAATGTGATAGATGATCTCAGCATGCTCAGCAGTTTGGAGTTGAGCAGTTGGCTGAGAGGTATTGTTTCTGCTTCTTTTTCTGAAGACCCCGATTCAAACCTGGCCAGCATCCTCTTTTAATTGGAGTCTGTGTTTGGCTCCACGATTAACCCTCATATTGAGAGTTAGGCGGGTTAAGGACAATGTTTGTATCCATATGTATATGTTAATGTTGTAGTTAAGTTGAATGACACTGCACTGCAGCTGCCGTGGGTCCATTACAAAATGAATATGCCCATAACCATTCTAAATTAATTGCTCCAAAGAATTGCTGGCAATGGTGTGCCTTCTCAGACTTTTCCATGCCAGTCCTGGTTTTCTGAAGTGCCCAAAATAATGATCTTGCCATGATATCAAAACAATCAAGTTTATAATGAGTTCACAAACAGGAAATTCAACCCACATCAATTTTTAATCTTCATCTTCAGGTTTTCATATTCACCATAATTTGTGCAGTATCTATTTATCACTATATAATTCACACACCTCCACACAAACTTTCCACCTACTTTTCTGTGTATATCATAATAAATTAAAAAAATGCTCTTCCTTCGCAGGTTTAATGGTTAGGGGCACAACATTTGAGCATAAAATATATCATCAGATTTTCATTAGTATAATACAAACAAAGTAGTTTTTTTTAAATTAAAGTGTCCCTTGATATCTGCTATTCAAAGGTCAAGTACAAACAGGCATGTATCCTTGGTTTATTTATTACTGATAGGCTACCCTTGAATTTCAAGTCTAGGCATTTAAACTGTAATCATGTTTGTTTAATCATCTTTAAATACAATATATAATTAATAATTTAAAATGAAAGCAATCTTTATTTTAATTTGTAAAAATGAATTGATTATTGGTACTTCGGTACCGACGGACCAATCGACAATACATGTGCAGTGTTTAATTTTTGTACAGAGTCTTGGTTCATTTAATTCCTATCAAAGTAAAACTTGTACAGTATCAACCGGGCCTGGTTTAACAACACCGACCTGTTCGTCATCGATAACAATACAAACAATGACAAAAACATTAAAAGGCACAACCCCGTATGGGATGCGTGTCTAAAATAATCGCTTAGCTTTAATATTCATCAGGCATGATAATTTGATGATCGCTTTCCTAGACGTGTTTGTAAAATATTGTTTTTCTAAAAAAGTTGGAGAAAATTTGTAGATCGCACCTTACATATTCAATAAATAATTTATTAAATTGTAATATAATTTGTGAGGTTTTTTTTTTTGTAGGCTTTGGCATAGAACTGTTCATCAGCAGTGAGTGAACTAGCCATTTTTCATATCAAGTTAGATTAATACTATCACCAAATTTGTTTTCTTTGTTCTTGCCAGCTTACCGATGGTAGGGTTTCACCGCTTTTTGAAACTGCTAAGCGACCATGATTGGAACAGTTCGCCATTAATCGTAAATTTCAACGACGAGCTGACTGGTAAGTTACTAAGAGTTAAATTATAGAAATTTTTAGGCAGTATTTGTATTTGCCATTCATGTGTATTTTTCTTATGTGTGTAAGTTTCTCGCTTGCATTACTGGTATGTGTATTTCTTACATGAATTTTGTTTAATATAGTAATATATAATGTGTTATGTTATATAATTATAGTTATATGCGCATAGAGACATCTATGCGCATTGGGACATCTATGCACATAACATCACAGCTGTATTATCTGCCTTATACAGTATATCCATTGATTGATTTAATGTAGTTAGATTTATATATAGCGCTTTATACAGAAACAGTCTGAAAGTGCTTTAGGTGTGGACTCTGTCTTACAGTAACTTTCTGCTCCCCTAAGTGTCTCTTCATGTCTGAGCTACCCGGTAAAATAGTATCAGCTACTTCTGTCTGTCCACAACAGGGGCTGTATTGATAAATAACCGGGGTAATCCCCCTACTCATCTCAAAAAATGTATTGGGTTCTTTTGTGCAAACAAGCCAAATTGTATACACTGGGCCTATGGGTTATTAGTCCTTACCCGAGAAGATTTGTTCCACCACCAGATCAAACTAGAGCTGACATTATGGCTGTCGTTTGCGCCACCCCTGCCTTAACCGCTTGAACTCGATCCAACTCACCTATTCTGTATTTCTTTTTCATTATGGATATCTTTTTGTATAATTCAAATTATATTGTTAAACAGAAATAGTTAAAAACAATGTTGAAGCATCCCTGTTTTTGTAAAACATCTTCAGCACCCTTCAGGAACCCCTGCAGCACCTTTTGCTTCAAGACTCCCTCTGTTGCTTGGAACCCTGGGCATCCCTCTGATTCAGAACCACTTAGGATCCCTTTTGTTTAAGATCACTGAGCACCCATTTGCTTCTGAAATTCATTACATACCCTTCAATTCAGAACTTCAGATGCTTCAATACCACATTATATGTTTTAGCAACAAATGGTCAGTAGGCCCAGAATTGTATTCCATAAAAGTGGATAATTTTTTATTTATTTTAATTAATTGTGTTGCTAGAGTATCTCAAAATTAAGCATGTCCTTGCTTATTGGATCTGCAACATGTCTTAAAAATATTGTAATTTATGGTTTATTACCTCAAAGTTGCTATTGATTCTTTAAAGCCAGGCTCCAAATGGAAAACAAATTCTTAATATGTTGTACAACTGATTTTTCTGGGTGGGGGGGAAAAGGAAAAGGTGTGGTTATGCCACTTTTCCCGCGGAGTTTTTAAAAATTTAAAAATATGTTTCCCAAGTTTTTCGTTTTTGGGTTTTAGAACAACATCAACAAAACAAACAACATAATATCAAAGATGTTTTTCCTCCAGAGACTTGTTTTAATCATGAAGAAGGCATCTCTCGATGAAAATCTCAACAACTATCTACTGTCATCGAATTTGGCCTTTGTAAAGTCATTTAGAAAGCTGTATTAAAATGTGTCTCTGTCCATAGTAATTATTTAGATTTGAATGGGAAATTTCGGCCTGCAGGCAGCGACGAGGTTACACCCCTTTTACCTCACATATTCTGATTCCCCATAAAAAACTGGTCTAGAAAAACCATATGAGAATTTCTACCTCTCCAAGTGGCACCTATCTCAGTTATAGCCTGGTCTAGTAAAAGAAATTGTAAATATCACCCAGTTAATGATTAGCTTTCTCTAATCATACATACACAAACATTAGTACTGTACATATGCAGAGAACAAAGTAGTGTCGCAATTAAAGCATCTCCAAACTATCAAATTTTATTTGATAAAAAAAACATGTCATGCCTAAATATGGTCATAATGACATCACATCATGACCCATATATGGGCACATCATGACTATATATGTGCATATCAACAGTGTTTTTTTGTTAAAGAATATTTGGACAGTTTGCTTTTCCTCAAACTGAAATGAAAGCCAGAAGCTAAAGCCCTGGCCAGACTATCAAATTTGATGTGACAAACACATGTGACATGCCTAAATATGGTCAGGATGACAACACATCATGTCCATATATAGGCACATCATGACTGTATATGGACACATGAAAATTTGACAATCTAGACAGAGCTTAAGTATACACTTTCAGGCTTTTGTTTGTCGTAATCAATTCACAATTTTTTATCAGATTTTGTCTGGGTGTGTTGACTTCGTTATCTGAACTACTTCTTCAAATCTGATTAAACTCTTGAGTCTGGCCATGCAGCTATACAATTTATAACTTTATGGTATGACATACAAAAATATATAGCATACGGGCTTGGGCCTTATATGAGGTTTTTTTCATTGAACATCCAATTTTCCCCCTGTATTTACAAAGTAATTGCTACTGGTTGACAGTATTTAATGAAAAACATTGTAGCAGTATAGATCATTTCACTAATGCTCTCAGGTTAAGACATGGGTTACTGTATCCCTGATATTTTACACAGTAATGAGATGACAACCTTTTCTAATAAACAGTAGAGTGGTTTTATCACAGGTTTTATGTTCAGAGCTTCTGAAAAACATACCTAAAATAGCTGTTTTTACTACAAATGGCAGCCTATATTTTTTATTTCACTCCACTATATTCAGTCTTTCATGACTGTGTTTTAAATAAATATTATTTATTATTTTTATGTAGTTACAGATTATGAGGCTATAAGAAATTATTTCTCCAACAATCGAACACATCTACCAGTGTTGTTTCTAGCAACAGCCTGGGATAGAGAAGGATCTGTGTGGACCACGACGTCGCCTTCAGTACAGGTAATGGAATTTTGCTTTTGCGGTTTCAGTAAGATTTTAGAATTTTTTCGCATTATTGAGGTAACTAAAATTATTTGGAATCTAACCATTAGTTGTGAAGATGATGGAGCTGAGCTTCGACTTGGTGGTTGGGGTATTTGACTTTTAATCCACAGGTGGGCAAAGTGCGGCCCATGGCCCACATGCAGCTCAACGGCAATTTGTTGCGGCCCATGAAAATAAATTAAAAACGCTTTGTATGCAGCCCACCTATTATCAAAGAGTATAAAACTGCAAGCGGTCCAACTCTTGGGGTTTTGTTGGAACGTAATACTATTTCAAATGTACTACCACAAACTAGAGGGCGTCCTTCAAAAGGCAAGTTTCAAACTCTTTGAATTCTTATAGGGTGTCCCACTTTCATTCTGTGCATACAAAATCAGAGCGGTCAAACTTCTTGCAATTCTATACTCCTTGCTATTATCTTCAGCAATAATTAGCTTTATGTTTATTATCTCTGCTTTGTATATCTGCTAATTCACAGGCCTGTCCTCTTTAATTTTACTCTAGTTGTTTGATAATGTACAACATTTTGCATTATATTAGTGTTAATTTTCTTGATATTTGTTTTATTTTTTATATGGCATTGTGTATTTCTTGTTGGGAAATCTTTAATATCTTTACCAAGTATATATAAAACGTTTTTATACACAGTTTTTAAACTTACCCAAGTCAAATAGTAAGTTCAATGACAAAAACATAAAATGTTGTACACAATTTGAGAATACACTCAATTTCAAACATTTAGTTCTGTGACAGCTAACTATAAATGAATTGTCGTACACAATTTGTGAATGAACCCAAGTCAGATATTTAGTTCAATGGCAAAAGTATTAAATACACCTCGTACAGATAATCCAGCATCCATTGTCCAGGGTCCTCATGGCGACAAAGGAATCAGCACTCCACAAACGAGAGAAATCTACAATCAATGCCCCATCCATAAGCAGCTTGAACATAATATTAACAAACTGTGAGATCTTCTAGGCTTAAGGAATTTCATTGAATTGTCTAACTGCCATGACGTGTCTACTTAGTACCGAATCGGTGTCATGTCTCCAGCATAATATCATTAATTTTTGCCGTGAAATGTAATTCTCTGGAAAGGAAAGTCTTGGAGAAACCTGTGGCTACTATGGAAGATTTTCGTCGGGATTTTGGGATGATCCTGCATCTTAGTTTAGTCCTTGTAGTGATATAATATGTAGATTGTGTTTTTTTTCCCCCAACATATAATGGTAATTTATCGTTATATTTCTGAACAAACATAACAACAGTGTACTGTACATCACAACACTAATTTATCAATGTTTTCTACTGGGGCTGGCCAGGGTACATTTCGATGAATTTCTTGTCAGTGACAAGAACATTTTCCTAACTGCTGGTTTGGTGTGGAAAAATGTATTGACCATGGCTTCAATTAACAACTTATTATTTTCTCCCAGCTTGTAGATACCTTTGTGCTATAGAAATGTAAATCTACTATTATAACATTATAAATATTGTTATTATAATTATTATATGTGTATATTTCTTATGTGATCTATTGAATTTTTGATGTTCCTTTTTTTTTAAAACAATTGTTCAGCATTCTAAGTGTTTTTTACTCTATTATTAATTTTTTACCTTTCTCTGTCTTCAATGTGTTGTGTTCCTCACAACATGAACCTACAACGTTGCTGCAATCATTTCTTTTTAATAACTACCAATGAAATATGCCTCTGGCAAAATGTGTCTGCAAGAAAAAACCTACTCTTTGATATCGTCCATTTAAGTTGTCACGAAATCTATCATGTTTCTTCATAGCCAGCCGTATAATCAAAAGATGGCACTTATGACGAATAGAGTTATTTCAGCAGTGTAGTTTTTTATAGATAATTTGTATAAATGTACATAAAGAACAGAATTTGTTTTCAGGTGTGTTAACATGTCCATACTAAAGCAAGGGTTTAATGGGTTTGAACTAAACTGTAACTAAATGGTGCTAGTATAAGTACGGTTATCACCGACCGTTATTAGTACTGTAGCTGTGACGTCAACCGACTATATTCTTGACCGTTGTCATCCAAACAAACGGCCCATTATTGTAATCTATTAGGGAGGCCTGTTTTTTAAGTACTGTGTATGAAAGATCATCTCTGCTGACCCATCGCTAAACAAACTTACTTATCAAGAAGACCTATGCATAGATTATATCAGATATTATTGTACAGTGTGGTAATATGGACAAGTGCCTGCCATTTCTCTTGTGTTTATGGGTTCAGTCCCAGGAAGATACTAGCAATATTTTAAACAACAAATAACAAATATTAAAACTCTTCTTTTATAAATTTTCAAATCAGTTTCACTCTTTTTTTTATTATGTTTGTGAATTTGCATATTTAATTTTTACAAGTATTTGGGGGATGTAATTAGTATTCGGTGCAGTCACACCTAGTTGGGTAAATTTATCATAGTTAGTTTCCTGACCATTCCTATGTATATATTGTTTCTTGACGAACTTACTTCTTGTTTATCTTTTGTTCCAGTTCCCTTTTCTACTTTTTCGTTTAGGGCCATGTTTTGATTTGGTCAATACATTCCATTTGGTTGATTTATTCACTTGAAGGCTAATAGTTTAATGAAAATAACAGCAAGCAATTAAATTTTTTGTTAGATTTACATAGTTACACACAAACACAGTAAAATAATAACCCAATGAACACCAATTAACTATAGTCAGTAAAACTCATGGATGGCATGTAATACATTAACTTTTAACCTCATCTCTGATATCTGTAATGAATTTTTGTGCTATTTTGATTTAAATAAGTCATACATAAATACCTTTAGGCGATCTGCCGACTAAATAAGGCGCTAAGTAAGTATAACTTCAGTAACAGTATTAACACTTACAATCTACATTTAGGAAGAAGTGCAACAGGCTGTCAAGGTTATATCTATGAATATTTATGATGTTTAATTATGAATATTGAATAAATCATTCACATCACAAATGTCGCTGACTCAGCCTCTGTTTTTTTTTTTTTTTTAATATATTTTTCTGCTTTCCCCCACTCGTTCTTTCATGTAGAAATATTGCAAGTTGGAATCATTTAATGGTGCGACATATAACAAAATCTCACATAGTGTGCTGTATGGCCAATTATTGCGGAAATATTTTCACATAAATGTTCTTTAAAGATTTTACTGGATGAATGCAAGTGCACTAAATTCAGTATGGGTTAGGAAAATCCTGCGATCAACATTTGCATGCTTAAAAATCTGGATTTTCTTGCATACGATCCTTGTCATCGCATTAACATAAACAAGTGTATTTTGTCAGCCGAAATGCAAAATACATTTTTTCATTGTTGACTTTAATATTATGATCATTTTCATGTTGTGATTTGCCTTTCTTAAAAATTTAAATTGTAATTTGCATATTTAATGCTTAACAAATTACACATGCATTCTGATGTGTTTTTTTTTTGCACTTTTATTTTTATTTATAATTTTTTCTTATTTTTTTTTGTAGATTTTACACAGACTTATTCTGTTAGCCAAAGAATCGTTGAGCATTTTGGAGAGGCTGATGATGAGTGTATCAAATCCTGCAGATTATATGGTAAAAATACTGATTAAAGCCCTGTCCAGACTATTAAATTTGATTTAACAAAAACATGTGACATTCCTAAATATGGTCATGATGACATCACATCATGATTATATATGGGCATATGATGGCTATATATGGCCATACCACAGTTTTTTTTCAAAGAAAATTTGATAAGCTTGACAGAGCTTAAAGCTCCTTTCACATCTATTCAGGTTCAGGTTCCGTTTCCAGTTCCAGTGCCGGTTAAGAAATCTGACTTCTATTCTTATAACGCTGAAGACGTATTCTATTCACATCTGCTTCAATCCGGTATCGAGTCGATCCTGGAGCGATTTTTTTCGACCGTATTTAAAACCTAAAGACTTCTGACCAATCAGAATTCTTCACACACTGTAGTCAACCATTATGTATCGCATCAGGTATTTATATTATTTGTCCAAATCATGGAAGGAACCAAAATCTAGACTGTTTATGTAGGTTACTAAGGCAGAGGTCAACGAACTTGCCATCGGTAGACCTAGGCTTTAACGTACCCTGCACATAAATCATAGGCTTAATATAAGCTGCTTTGTATTTTGAACTATAATAAATTCTACTTATATAGAATATGATACTAAAAATTAAAGTAACTTATGAATAATAGTACGAAAAAATGTAATTAATAGAGGATTTTCAAAACATAAACAATACGACACAACTCGCGACGCAAGTTCCTTTTAACGCGTGACGTCAACAATAACTGGACGAGGAACCAGAAATGAAAACGGAGCCTGAACTGGAACCTGAATAGCTGTGAAAGGCGCTTAAGACTTTACAACACTCACTAGATGTATGATACACTGTTGCCCTGTGTGTGTATATTTTTTTATTAATATGATACTATAGTATAGTAACTAGGCTGAGGATAGCAGGGCATATAAGAAAGGACCTGCATATAATTTGAAAGAAAGGTTACCTATTCCATTCAGGTGCACTTTTAATGGTCTACGTCTTTAGTAGGCTAATTTCTTATTGTCTTCTAATTTCTCGAAATGACGCCCGTGGGCTAATCAAGATATTATGGGCTGCATTCGTACTGTAATGTATTTGTACTCATACGGATGTTATCTTTGATGTAGAGTGTCAGTGTCAATATTATTTTATTGTGCTAGCATGGTTAAAATTAAAAAAAAAATATTTATCAGAATTTCAAATTGCATAGTTGGAAAATGTTATGGAGAATTTACAGTATTCATTTTGAAAAGAAGCCCCGTCATTTTGAAAAAGTAATCTTGAAAAGAAGCATATCTTTGAAAGATGCCTATCTCGAAATGAAGCCCATTCAAGGGTCCTATTTGAGGTTTTAAGGTATATCAAATCATACACATAGTTTATAAATATTTTTATTGTTTATACATAGTATTTGCTGCATTGAAACAAGTGTACTAATATTTTGTATAGTGTGTTACAGAATTTAATTGGTAAAATATGGATATAGATGAATCAGGAGTTTAGAACCCAGCCTTAGATATTTTAAGAGCAATTCATAAATAATTATATAGTCGCTCAAAAGCCTATAGGTCTTTTTAAAAATTTTGTATCTAAACAGTTAGATTTCCATATCTTTTCAGCAAATTTTTCGGCCACCAATGGATTCGTATGACGTGTTGATTCACCTGAAGCTTGAACAACTTCCCAGAAGACATCAGTGTATCGACAAGGTAAAGTCAAAGTCAGATCCAGCACCGAAGCCAAAGTTTCTACCAAAAAATCCTCCAATGCCCGTTGTTGACTTTGACCCTACAGCTTACTATCTTCAAGAGCTAAATGTGAGTAATACTTATAATAATGCCAATTACTTATATAGCGCCAATTCCAAAATGAATGATCAAAGGCACTGATCGTTATAACTCCTGATCACTGGATAACGTACAATGGCAAACTAGCACGAAGCACAACCTTCTCTGCTCCCTGGGGTGTATATCTAGTCGTGCGCTTGTACTAGCGCACGAAACTAGTACATTCAATGCCACATCCTACCATGTGCCCATTTATACTCCTGGGTAGAGAGAGAGACAAATGTAGATAAGTTCCTTGCCCAAGGACACGAGCGACTTGCACAGCTTAAGTTTCGAACCTCTGACCTCAAAGTTAGGAGTCAAAGCCGAAACCGCTTCTATTGTACATAAATACTTTGAAATAAGCCGAGAAGATTTTAAACTAAACTTGCTATGTAGCCCTGGGAACATATAAACAAATAGATAAATGATAGAAACAGTGTTCATATATGTGGCAAAGTCAAGCCAAAGCAGTCACATTTTTAGTTATTAATACAGGGTTAAGGAATACAATGAGAGATTATAAAATAGTAAAAGAATCATTTAAATCCGAAAGTTTGTTATGAAGTTTCAGAAATTCAAACATACAACTCTGTAAAGTACAATATTTGAGAAATTAGCCTTCAAAGTGCACACAATCACACAACAAATACATAGTAATATAATTACTAATTTAATTTTTATTATAAAATCAAAGATATACCAATTATAGTGATATATGAAAAAAAAAATTCACTTACAAAAATTAAATTTTTTAAAACAAATTGTTGTCAAAAATCAAAGAGTGGTGAGCAATATTTTCTTTGTCATTCTAATTTTCAATTCAAAAACATAAATTAAGCAATTTAAATATTGAATTTTTGTTTTCAGTGGTTTTTTTTTTACTCATAATCGACGATACATCTTTAAATAAAAGCACATTAAAGAGATACAGTGGCACCAAGGATGAAAGAATGGGTAAATTGATCACAGGAATACAAGTAGAGTCTTATTCTTATTAGCAGCAACCCAGCCCATCAATTCAGGCTGCCCTTTGCATGCATGTTTTTACAATGGATGTACAACATTTATCATCCTTTACAATAATCTCATTTATGATTAATAAAAGCTCATTTTTTTTCTTTACCAGGGGGAAAAATATAAGAGTCGATACCTTTAAATCACAGATCAGAGTTCCCATATCTTTTTATTTGGCGTTTAGGCAGAGAAATTCTGTGAAGGGTTAGCCACGCCTCCCACACAAAGACCTTGTTTATCTCCCCACCCCACTCCCCATACTCTATGTAGGTACCCATTTATACTTTATAATGAAAGAGATCAATAGTAAAGTTCTTTGCTCAAGAACACAAGCAAGACTCATTTTGAACCTTGACCGCAGATTTAAATTCCAAGGCTCCCACGTTTACCAAGGAAAGGACATCATTTTGTATCTGAAAAAGGTAAGTTGTGCAACAGGTGTAATTTTATCATGACATTATTTCAATTTATTTATTTCATAGGAGATGTACGGAGAGATTGCTCTGTTTTTCCATGACGTATATGGGGGTAATGTGATTGCTGTTGTTTGGAAGCCCAATTCTTTTAAACCTGAGCTATTCAAGGTAATTCAGTGTCTTTATTTTATTGCATTACCATACCTATTTGGAGCATGTTTTTAATTCATTTTTTTTGTTGTTATTTTTTTCAATTTATTTTTATGTTAATAGATTAGGATGCAGTAATGGAATTCTTGTTCTTGATTTCTTTTGTGTGTGTACCATTTTCCCTTTCTGTTGTTGTCAAGGGCATTGAGGCTTTTTAGAAGAATGCAAGAGTAGAATTGGTATCAACAACATCTTCATTATCATGATGGAGTATATGTTTCAAGGTTATCATTTCAATCATGTTCCCATCTAACATTTAAGCACATTCATAAATTACATACAATACAATCAACCTTATCTACAGACTTGCTGGATGTACGTTCATGGCTAGATTTTTTTCTAGCCTGTGCCATTTTCAGGTTGACATTAAATGCATAATATAGAAAATGTAGGCTAGTACAATCGATAATAAACACTTATATTAAATTATCTTTTTTTTTATTATTAAACCTATAAAATTTTTGACATCAACAAAGGAAAGGACATTAAACTCAGATGGTAACCTGGAGAGATAGCATGCTTGATACATTCAAAATGACATAAAGAAATGTGCAGAAGAGACATAACTTAAGCATAGAAACAACAAGATGGTCATACATGATTTCAAAAAATGTAAAAATACCATATCAAACACAATTCTTTGTTGGCCAGTTGTCTAGTAGATAATTATAAAACTATATTCTTTTTGCATAGGATTATGCGGCCGTCCCGAGGCAAAACAAAATAACTGACATTTTTGTCGATTTTGAGATAATATCATTTGGGAATATATAATAACACATCTGAACTAAAATTTCAGGTCTCAATAATGAGTTGTTTCAGAGATAGCACCACCAATATTTAAACACAGAACTTAAAATCAACCTAACTACAAGGTTACGTGGCAAAACAACGTATCTATGATGAAGATACGTTGTTTTGCCTCGGAATGGTAATCACAAACTGTTATGAGCTGTTGGAGTTTGGCAACGCAAAACCAAATGGTTATTAGTGATGTTATATCAATAATCTTAACAGCAATGTATGAACAAGCTGTAGGTAATGCATATGATTGCCCAAACTTGATAAATTCCAAAAATATGTCGCACTTGCAATAATACCGCGTCTGACATGTTTCCGAGGCAAAACAACGTGTAATTATCGCTATAGCTTTGCAATAAACAAACGGTAGTAATTAAAATTTTAAATTTAAATCACCATGTCTATAGATATACAATCCTGCAAAATTTCAAAAGGGTACAACAATTTATTGCAAAGTTGCGAACATGTAAACTTTATCTCTATTTTTCTCCAAAAGTGAAAATTTGAAGTTACGTTGTTTTGTCACGGAACGGCCATACGTGTCTACACTACAATACCTCTAATATAATAAAAATTGGGGTTGATGTGATATAAATTATCCAAGATAATCAATTGCTCTACAATTTTCTGGAGATGAATTGGTAAGTGCACTGAGAAACAATCCCTACTCTATTCTTTTTTTTTTTTTTTAACCATATCATGACCCTTCCAGCGTATTCTAGAATGTCGGCTGATATTCAGAGGGTCTCTTAAATAAATTAAATAAGGTGATGTTTTTATCAGCGAAGTCTCTTTACGAAGCTTAGGGATTACTGGAGTCGTTTTTAATCATGAGAAGTTCTGATGTCACAGGAATTAAACCCAGGACCCTGGGATTAGAAAGCTAGCATCTTAACCACTAAGCTATTCAACTCCACTCTTGAGGAGTGCACTGCGTTCTTTAACATGCACAGGGGCGATATTACAAATGGAACCAACAGCTTAAATCCAAAAGGCGGTGAACTATTATAACTTTGACCCTGATGTGAGTGGCCCTGATGTACTAGCATCCATCATTAAAAGAGCGCCTGGAGATATACTTAATCTTGGTGCACTAGAAGTCCAATGTATGTATCATCAAACCATCACTTATCCTATGAGTGAACTTAATGGTACATTTCTAATCTAACACCTGTCTGATTTTTTTACCCTCCATATTACTTAACCTGTTATTTTATTTAAGAAATTCTTTGCCCTGTACTCTGTTACTGACAAGATGTGTTAATGCTGAAAGACTAAATGCTGTAGGCCATCGATTCACTCGCTTGGTCGGATGCTGAGCCATGAGCGCCTCTTAAGGTGGAGGATACCCAGCACTATACAAGTTTTAATTTATTATTACAGTATTTACTTTTCTTCTTACTCTTTGTAAAAGAATGTGACATGCCTAAATATGGTCATGATAACATCACATCATGACCATAAATAGGCACATCATCACTAAATATGGGCATACAACAGTTTTTTTGTCATAGAAAATATGATAATCTGAACAGAGTTTTATGAGAGTAAAAATTAAGCTGTTTTCAACATACATTTGTACATTTTATGGTATACAATGTACTGACGTATCAAAACCATTCAATTTCTTTTGGCTAAATGAGTATGATATGACATTCTACAGTCGTAATAACATATATCTACTGTAAAACCTCGAATTGAAGCCCCATGGTCTTAATCTCGAAAAGATGACCCCCGTCTTCAGTTTGCAAAAGTAATCTCGAGAAGAACCCCATGGGGTTCTTTTGGGATAATACAGTAGTTCCATTTAGACTGACGTTATCTTTGATGATTATGAAAGTGTGTACTATAAGTATCAGGTGTATTTTATTGTACTTCCTTGGTTAGAGTTAATATTATAATAAATATTAAACAGAATTTCCAATTCCATAGTTAAAAATGACATATAGTAGGGTGAGGTACAGCATTCATTTTGAAAAGAAGCCCTCTTTTTAGTTTGCAAAAGTAATCTCAAAAAGAAACCCATCTCGAAAAGAGGCCCCTTATCTCGAAAAGAAGCCCATCCAAGAGTCCAACAAAAAAAAAAAAGATGCCGCCCAGGGCTTCTATTCGAGGTTTTACAGTATCTTATTTTTCGTTCTTGAGAACTATTCGAAATGCATTTCACTTTACTTATTACAAAAATTTTTAGGTTTTTTTTATTATTCTAATCTTATTTGCTCTGAAATTTATCTTTCCTTCCGACATCCATTCCTTATTTTTTTAGTTGATGCTTAGAGGATGTGCTGCGGTTAGACTTGCATCATTACACCTGGAAACGAACACATGTACTCATTACACTTGCTCTTATAAGTGATGAATGGCAATTTAATGACATGTTATTAATGAGCTCTATCCTTATGTAAAATGTGATTGTCGCTTAGCAACTGGATATGTGTTGTACAGCCATGTTTGTCATGTGTTTCAATGGGGGGATCAAAGGATTTAACTGTGCGTTGTGTGGTGAATTATGACGATGATTTTCTTCTTTTGTGTGTTCATTGCGGACAACACGAAATGAGCCATGGGACGCTATTGTCCAAGTACACGTGTTTATGACCTTTGTCCGTATGCTTGCACCTGTAGTAACATAACTCACCATGTCTACATGCACTGTCTATGTATAGTTCCATGTGCTCACTCCAAAATGATGATTATGGTGGTGATGGGGTTATAGGTGGTAGTGATGATAATAATGATGCCAATGACGTTGGTGAAGGCAATGGCAATAGTCGCGTTGGCAGTAACGATGGCGAAGGTGATGGTAATGGTCGTGGCGATGGGGATGATGAGAGTGAAGGTGAGGATGACATAATGGGGATTTATTTATTTGTTTATTTTATTCTTTCTTAAGACTGCAGGCACTTTCAGTACTTGTACTGGTTTCAAAGCAGTACAGTTACAATTTCATCAAAATAGAAAGAAAACAACACTCAAAACAAAGTCAAAAGAAAATTCAATGTAAAACTTATAAATTAATAGAATTTTGGAATGAAACTTATGTCATTTTTGTTTAGTTTGGAAGTTCATTCCAACTATCTGATGTGCGGTATATAAGAATTTTCTTTTACCTTGGCAGGTATTTAAAGGTGCTACAATTAAATCATATGAGTTTGGCTAAATGTGCATTTTGAATGGATATTTTGATTCGATGGTGAGGATGATGGTGGTGGAGAAGGTGTTAGTTATTATAATAAGATTGACGTTGATGTTTATTATAGCAATAATGTATATATACATTAATCAGTTATCGAATAGCGAATCTGTATAGATATATCTATACAGATTCGCTATTGGATAACTGATTAACCATTGTGTGTGTGATTATGGTAAGGATGATGGTAATGATGGCAATCATTGTGGTGATGATGAAAATAATTCTGAAGATGATTTTTTTTTATGGCTGGTAGTGATAATGTTAGTAGTGATGGTAAAGGTAAGAGCTAAGGGGACTGTTATGGTTGGTTATATAACAGATGAATTCAAATTGCCCCATGTGACAGGAATAAAGGTTTATTGTATTGTATTATATTATATTGTATTGTGATGATAAATATATTAATTTCTTAAAATTATATATCCGTATTTTTCTAATAATTTATTGTTCCAATTATGAAGGGAACAATACATTTTGTTTTAAAATTTATCATGTTTAATTACATTTATAATGTATTGCTATTTTAATTAAAATCTATCATAATATGATTATTAATTGACAAAGCATATGAGAAGAAGAATTTATACATTAAAACATTAAGGTCATGAGAGTAAGAAAGAAGACTTTTCCACAGGTTCAAGGGCAATTGTGTTTCAATTATAGTGTTGTTGTTTTGTATTATTGACAGATCATGCGTGGGCCTTCCTTCAAATTGTGAGCACAGGTCAGCAGTCACTAAATAGAATAAGATAGAATCATCGATTCTAAAATTTCATATTTCATTATTAAGTGAAAAAATTTGACAGAGGAATTTTGTTGTTGTTGATGAATTTTATCATTCAACAAGCTATAGTTTTGTTAAATTGTGAATTTTCTTTCTTAACTTTGTTAACTATAAACCACATAAAGGAGTCTAGTATATGCTCTATGTTAGGTTAAATAATTAATAAATAATAATAAT